GTCATCACATTTCTGCCGAAAATGGGCCTCGCCATGCTACAAAGACTGATGATCCCTTTTTAACCTTGAAGCTCTTCCTTCCTTCAAACCGCTAGCCGAGCCTTCCCGTCTTGGCTCTTTCAAGTCTTTCTCATAGCATCGTGTTTAAGTGTGATGATTTTTGAGCGTGCACCGTTCAAATCTTTTCCTTTAAGGGTGCTCAAAAGACACTCGACAGATGTATCCCAAGGGCAAAATGGAGATCGTTCTTGTAACACATTTTCGTTTTTTTTTTTCTCCCCCCCATGAATTTTACATTGGCCTAAAAGCTTATCCTTGAAAAAAAGATTCACGTGGACCTGTTATGGACATCTGACCACCTGACCTTTAAACCCACTAATCTAATCCCCCAATCCCATGGCAGCAACATTGACGTGGCAGAGATCAATATCCTCCTTGGTCCGTCTTAAGTGACTGTCTGGAACCACTATTGTATTTATTTTATTATTATTATTTTTTTAATCATCAAACAGGCACAAGTTACCGACCCAAAATGTGTGTACGATGCTCTCAATTTCCAGGTGTTAGTGTTTTTATGTGCAACGATCTCCGGCAATTAAAATATCCCACATCATCCAATTTGAATCTTCATTTCAACCGAGTTGACATCAATCCATCGACTGCTTCGAAACAAGAAAATGAAACCGTATCGGACGCTTTTCCGCAATTTCGTCAAAGTTACTGCCTATTTGAGAGCGCGCGAATCTGATTTTGCGAGGGGAAGAGTGCAAATGTATGTCTACGTATATGTAGCTGCACTCTCAGGGAACGCATTAGCGGGGAGGCGTAGTCAAAACTAAATAAATTATCGCGGAGCTATTTTTAAGCAGAAGTGTAAATGCGGTAATCCGGAGAGCTGGAGCCGCAAAGAGCCAACAAGACAGAACAGAAGCCACTTGGGGAATACAGCTATGTCGTTGTGCGAGTCTCTCTCGCTCTCTCTCACTTTCTCCATCATCCCATCCTCTTTTTATTTCCATCCCTCTTTTTTTTTTTTTCTCCCTTTGCCTTTCATATGGTAAAAGCCTCTGTTTTGCTTTCCGAGTATATTGCTTATCCCTGAGCCCTCTTTGGGGACTATACTGACTCCGTTGTGATAAACAATAACAGACCTTTCAAGAAGTCCCGCAAGGGGGAAATATGGTTTTGGTGCAAAAAAAAAATAATAATAAAAATCAGGAGGGTCATTGTGGTGCACGCAAACAAAAATAAGAAATGTGTAATTTTTTTTTTTTTTTGGGGGGGGTTATATAGAGCACAACAACCTGCTTTTTGAATGAGGGCGTGTATATACAGTATCTATGTTATATCCACTGTGTCAGTCCAAAAGAACCTCAACAGTGAAGCATAATGGCTCATGAAATTAATTTCCGCAAATTCCAGTCGAACAGTTTCAAATTTTCAAGTGTCCGGTGTGGTCGTAAAGTGTAAACAAATTTAACCCTTCAATGCACCCTGTAACCCGATAACCTGATAAGCTGTCCACTGTCGTAACCGCTGTCCCTCAAAAGGTTCAACAGGTTTTTTTCTTCCCTTAAATCAAATATCCATTTAGCTGATTTGCAAAACCTGTTTTAGAGTCGTACTTTTTTTTTTTTTTTCATTCGTGGCAGTTGCAGCCAACTAAATCTGTCACGAAAAATAAAACGATCACCCAAAGTCATATCGACACACATTCTTATACACTGGAATATTTTTGAAAAAAAGCACAAACATCAGCGCACATGCCCCACAACAAACCAGCCGTCTTTTAAAACGTTCCAGTTTTTGGCTCCCTTTAAGCCCCCGAAGGACACGTCGGCACTGTCAGGAGAGCGATACTACGGAATCGTGCAGCACAGTTAAGAAACGGTACCGAGCTGTGTGTGCCGCTCCCCTGCCGCGCAACTAAAAGCAGAAAAAATATGGAAGCAACAATTTTGGATGTGTGTGTGTGTGTGTGTGTGTGTGTGTCTCCTTATGTCGCTAATAAAAAAGTAACAGACAAACTCGATGGGTAGATGGTTTCCGTGCAGTTGAAACTATTGCCGTGCTATTTCCTGCCGTAGCTTGACGAAATACAGTGTACCGTATTTTCCGCACTCTAAGGCACACCGAAAAGTCTTCCATTTTCTTAAAAGCTCCCAGCGCGCCTTAAAATCCGGTGTGCCTTGTGTATGGTCATTACGGTAATATGCCGACCCCAAGATGGCTCCTTGCTGGAGACATGCTTTCAATGTTATAACTTGCTGTTGGTTCAGTGAACTGTGTCGCTGTTTTATTAAATAAGTTTATGTTGCAGCTCCGAAAAAAGGAGAGCTGTGGCGTTGTTTTTTTAAAACGCACACTTTATTAATGGTTTTCACAGTCTCAAAAAATACAGGTATGTCTTTGTCCGTCTCCGTGCCTTCTCTTCTTCCTTTCGACTCGAGAAGCGTTCATGACCGCCTCGGAAAAACGTAAATTAACGATTCCTTCAATGAAACTACGACAATTGAAAATAATGCATCAAAACAGAAAATCAAGCGAGGAAATGACAAAATAAATTCTATGCATTATTTTCAATTTTCGTAGTTTCATTGAAGTCCACGTGAATTTACGTTTTTCGGAGGCGGTCATGAACGCCTCTCGAATCGTACGGAAGGAGCGTAGCTCCATCTAGTGGATGCATTGTAGATTGCGCCTTTTATCCAGTGCGTCCGATATATGAAAAAAAGTTACAAAATAGGCCATTCATTGAAGGTGCGCCTCATAATCCAGTGCGCCTTTTAGTGCGGAAAATACGGTACACTTAGTGCGATTCACTAATTTAACATTGGTAAGAGCACATAAACAAGTCGATATTAAGCGTGTCCTTCCCCCTGTCTTATGTTCTTTCATCTGTAGAGGCTCCGCCCCCACACACGTTTTAAATCCAAGAAAGTCCACGACGACCGTATTTATGATAGCGGGGGTTCCGATTTATTCAGCAGATTACGGTGATTATGTATAACAACAGAGTCATTTACACTTGAATGTAATAAACGCGAAATGACGAGGTGCCCTTTTTTTTTTTCCTGGGGCGCTGTGTAAGGTAACGGTTGTGAAATTGTCAACTTTTATTGATTGTTCATTTTAACAGCAGCAATCTCTCATAATAAATCCTGGCGTTCGTTTAGAGACTGACATTGCAGCCTATCCTTGATACTGATGTGCAAAAAATGTTGTGTTAGGAAGAGTTGGAGGGAGAGAGAGAATGCAAGCAAAATTAAGATTCACATCACACTACTTACTGTTTGGAGAACGGTGTAATTGTGTGGCCTCTTCACTCTGCGGCTGACAAAGCAAACCTTCCTTGAAATGAAGCTGTAGACAAGAAAGGCCCCAGGCAGTTTTCCCAGTGCGGCCTTTTCAATTGCGCTACCTACTCTGCCGGGCAAAGCGCAACGCGGAACCGCGAAAACGAATTCGTCTGTTTAGAGCCCCAAATGAAACTGGAATTTGGTCATAGAAAATTCAAGTGACGCGTTAAATATCATTTGTAACTCGCTTCTTCATACTGCTGTGTTCATCATGACAGGGATTTGCATGTAGGACAAAGAAGATATGTTTGTAAGTATTGTTATATTGTCTGTCTACATGTGCTGCGCCACGGTTTGTATTCAACTATTTGTCACGCCGAAAATTAGGCTATGGATGCTAATCATCGGCATAGTTTGTTAGTGTTAAGGTAAGCGGATTTTCACTCGTTTTAAACACGCATTATGTTGTTCTCTTTGTTTGATGTTTAGTTTGACTTCAACTGGGACTCGCTTCAAACAGCTTGCAGTGTTTTTTTTTTTTTTTTTTTAATAAATTGCAAATATTGCCAGTCAGTCGCCACTCTAGGGCGACTGGGTGGACTCAGACTCCCGAGTTTTCCATTCTGCTGACCTTGCAGTCCACACTTTGGGATAGTATCGTGACGAGAATGACTGGCACGCGTCTGTTTGTCGTCATTGCACACAGTGACTGAGTTTTCGATCGTCATTTATCTCCGTCCGCGTCATGTGTTACCCCCACCCCCACCCCCCCCTTCGTTTACATTCGAAACACTCGTCAAGCGCTCGCGCCTTTGTGCCGCGCGGCTCTCACCGTGGCGCCCGCAACCACAAAGACGCTATCCGCATTGATTTACGATGTGCCATTTTATAATTACGTCGGCGTGCTTTTGATTCGCTCTTTCTCTCTCTTTTCATCCCGTTTCTCTTATCTCGCCGCTCTCACTTCCCAAGTTTTCTAATTCCATGCCCGTGATCCGTTTTTATGCCTCACTGTGCCCATGCTTGTTATCTCAAGCCCCTTATTTATTTATATATCTATATTTTGGCCTGTTTGATCTCAAATTCGAAATTTCCTCTCTCATCGATGTCTCTTTCTCAGTTTCGCACTTTGGGATAGTATCGTGACGAGAATGACTGGCACACGTCTGTTTGTCGTCATTGCACGCACTGACTGAGTTTTCGATCGCCGTCATTTTTCTCCGTCCGCGTCATGTGCATGACCCCCTCCCCACCGCGCCTTTGTGCCGCGCGGCTCTCACCGTGGCGCCCGCAACCACAAAGACGCTATCCGCATTGATTTACGATGTGCCATTTTATAATTACGTCGGCGTGCTTTTGATTCGCTCTTTCTCTCTCTTTTCATCCCGTTTCTCTTATCTCGCCGCTCTCACTTCCCAAGTTTTCTAATTCCATCCCCGTGATCCGTTTTTATGCCTCACTGTGCCCATGCTTGTTATCTCAAGCCCCTTATTTATTTATATATCTATATTTTGGCCTGTTTGATCTCAAATTCGAAATTTCCTCTCTCATCGATGTCTCTTTCTCAGTTTCGCTTTCGCTGCTTTAGTTGTCGACACTTTTTTTTTCTATTTTTTTTTTTTCTGAAGATGTTGTAATTTCCAGAGTTTCAACAACAATACCCTTTACTTGTGTGTGTGTGTGTTTTTTTTTCTGATGTAGGCTCCCTGGAATGCGCCCCACCTTCACCATAAACCGACGGCGTATCGACAGAGGTACGCAAATGACCACCGCCGTGGCAACCTAAAACCAGACCACCTGTTTGTGATTCCCGGACCTCTTGGTGGACTTTGTGCAGCTCTTGTGTCGATTCATCCATGGCAAGATTGGAAACAATCTCATTCTTCCTGAAAATCCTCCCCCACGAGTTCAAATGTGATCTTTTCCTTGCAAACCAAACAACCGCGCCGGCATTCTGGAATCTGACCAAGAGTTTCCAATTCGATCCAACAAACATCACCAGGTAGTTCGAAAAAAAAAAAAATCGACATTTACAACGCAATGAGAGCTAAAATTATTCCTAGAAAGAAATCAGTTTTCAGGAAGGTTGCATCTCTCGCGAGCGCACGGTATTTTATATATTGTTGCTGGCCGTAATTCATCCCCAAAAGGCGATTTTGCTCTTACAGTAACACTTTCAAACCACTTCTTCAAACTGTCACTCAAACTTCACGGTAGCACTTGAAGGTTTTATGTTTCTCCCCCGTGGGAAGGCTGGTCCTAATCCAACTTAGGGCTTTTGTGAAGTGGCAAGACAATTACTGCTCATAAATCCTCCATTCGTCGTCTAATTCTATCCTAATAACCGCGAAAAAGCGAGACACACTTTGCACACCCTTGTCCGTGTGTCCTGCTCGTTCAATCTGTGCGTACGGTAGACGCCGTCGTGTCAATAGTATGACAATGCCCCCATCTTGCACTATTTATTTTATGCACTCCCCCCCCCTACAAAAAAAATGGACATTTAAATGAAGGATTTTGGAAAATAAAAAGCATGAAGTAGAAAGGACCATGAGAAGGAATCTCCCGAGGAATCCCCGTCCAAGTTGGTAAACAGCTTTGACAACGAACTAAATGTTATGACTGAAGCTGAACCGAGATGCTCTGACGAGGAGACAAAAAAAAAAGACATCGCTGACATTTTTTTTTTTTCCTTGCCACATCTGTGTACAACTCTTTTATTTATTGTTTTGTCAGCTTCTCTCGCTCAAACTATTTTTAGGTGAGCTATATTGAAGATAGCGAGGATGGGGAAACGAGCTGCGACGACCGCGTCTGTCATTGAAATGTCGGTTTTGTTTAAAAAAAAAAAAAAAATCAATCTGTTATGTCGATGCGAATGACGGCCAATCACTGTTATCTTCTTGACTAACCCTCAAAGCACACGTCTGTCATGAAACCAAACGGCTCTGTCTTGTCTGTGCGTGCGTGGACATTCATTAAATGTAGCCGACGGTGTAACAACTTCTAAATAGCAATCGCAAATATTGATGTACTGGAATGATGTTTACATTAAAAAAAAAAAAAAAAAAAGCTGACAGCCAACCAAGCCTGTGTTAACATTTGCTGCCCATGAGAGCGATTGAAATTGAACGGGATTTCATTTGCGGACAGGTCGCCTCTGTGTCCGCTCATTCAATGTTGGGATATAGCAGCTGCGGACTAATACAACAAAGATCCGCTAGTTGATGGAACAATATTGATTAAACCTCGAGGATTACAGAAGCCTCAAGGTACGTGTGGATGTGTTTCCGTTACGCCGCAGCGGATGGATTTTGGGTTGGGCCAAAAACGGCAATTCGCTCACTTTGAGACGACTTCATCAATTCGTGCAAATAGGCTAAGATGGGCGGCCGTTCCAGTTCCTGTCCCAATGTTGGCTTACCTCTGAACTGTACTGAATACTGCAGCACCAAAAAAAAAAAAAAAAAAAGTCTTAATATGAACCACTACACCTTCCTATTTACTGACCAATTAGAGTTTGCGATTCCGAGAAGTACGAATTTACAACCGAGTGAGCCTGTTTGGACCTTGACCTTAATGTCCCTTTTCATTTTCTTTTCTGAAGCTACTGACACACACAAAGGTTGTGTGATTAATCCTGAAATGAAAAGAATATTCGATGAGAGGACGAAATTGAAAGTATGCTTTGAAAAGAAGCGTGTGGGGGTGTGGGGGGGGGGGGCTGTTTTGGAGCCCACAGCGAATGCGCGCTGTGGCCGGGGTGACAAATGTGAGGGATGAAGAGAAAGGGAGACATGACAGAAAAAAAAAACTTTCAGTCCCACTGCTTCTGCTTTCCTCTCTGGAGATGTGCGCCGCACGCGCTTTTCAGCGCTTTTGTTTTCCCGTGTTTTCTTTTCGGCCTCGCATGCATGTCTGAAATGTTACTCGTCTCTTGTACCTATAGAAGCAAAATATTAGAAACGGCTCTCCGGAAGAGGAACGTTTGCGTGTGCATTTGTCAACCCGGCCTGTGTCATCTCCAGCCTCCTCGCTGTTTTTTTTTTTTTTTTTTTTTTTTTTTTTTTTTTTGCCTTCGTGAGACTTTTATCTTTCGGTTCGTCATCGCTTTGCCTTTTTGTCCTGCCGGTTGTCTTTCATCTCTATCCTCTACTTTTGCATCTCGCCTTTTATCCCACTTTCTCACTGATCCCTTCAATATGTCTGTTAAGAAGACTCCTTTTTTTTTTTTCTCTTTTCCCGAGCGCGCTGGATGTTGCTTATTTTGGCAAGCATCCGCTCCAGTCTCGGTGGGCTTTGCGTGTCAGCGTATCATTATCATGACACGTGTCAGCATCTGCGTCTGGAGGCGTCCGTTATTTATTTAATTTTTTTTTTATGTGTGTGTGTGTGTGTGCATAGTTATCTCAGCAGAACTTTGCACACTTGTAAGTGGGCATCGGGAGAACGTCTTCTCCAACTGAGGAACTTAAGCCGCCTTATCGGGGGCTTCTTCGCTGCGTGTTGATTCTGTCGAGATGGAGCTGACATCCACCCCGCCTGTGAACTCCGCGGTCCTCCCCCCTCCCCCACCACCGCCAGCCGCTCGTCTCCAGCAGATAGTTTTATAGGGAGGGTTTAATCTTGGCAGCTTTTGCCGCAACCGGTGTCAGCACTGCAGAGGATAATACTCATCCATCCCTCCTGACTTTCGGTGGCAGCCGCTTGAACTTTTGAGAAGGGGGCGGGGGGAAGACACTGCTGCAGGTTGCTATGGGGCTGCTATTGTAGCATGTGTGTCGAGATAATTGTGTGTTACTGATGTGTGTTGCATTGATTTGTGATTTAAATTTTTTTTTTTTAATTTTTGGCCAATGCTGTTTCATTCGCGAGCCTTCACAAATGAAATGCTGAGGTGTTTCGGCGGAGCTGCCAATTAACCGACTCTGACCTCCGCCGGGGTTTTTGCGCCACGCTGTTGGGAAATGACGGCCGCGCCTCCCAACGGCGCCGGTTCCGTTCGGCCGACCGCTCGACATCGGCGTGCGACGTGTCATGACAATTATCCTTCTTAGGGTTCAAAGGAGGGCAAGGGGTGGAGTGCTAAGCCAAATTTTTCCCCCCCCCCCCCCTTGTGCTCCCCCCCATGATGGAACACGCCGCAGCAGACCCCCTGGAGGCTTAAAGCCAGCGGGCACCCCCCCGATAATGGAGTGGTGCTGTGAGCGTGCTCGTTAAACAGCCTTTGGTCCCAAGGGCTAATGACGTCCGCTGGCATGTTTCCTTTCTCCGTCGCCCCGTCTCTCTCCTTCCGCCGCCGCGTCGCTCAGCCTCCCATCTCCTCTCGTTTCACTTTCACTCCACCTCCCAGCATTCCTTTTCCGCCTGTGCCTTTTTTTTTTTTCGCCTCTCTTCTCAGAATTTTTTTTTTTTAATTTTTGGCCAATGCTGTTTCATTCGCGAGCCTTCACAAATGAAATGCTGAGGTGTTTCGGCGGAGCTGCCAATTAACCGACTCTGACCTCCGCCGGGGTTTTTGCGCCACGCTGTTGGGAAATGACGGCCGCGCCTCCCAACGGCGCCGGTTCCGTTCGGCCGACCGCTCGACATCGGCGTGCGACGTGTCATGACAATTATCCTTCTTAGGGTTCAAAGGAGGGCAACGGGTGGAGTGCGAAGCCAAATTCTTATCTTCCTTCGAGCAATACAAAGAAAGGGGAAGGGAACGAGGTGTGCTTAGCAACGTGCGTGTATTTGCTCTGCTTTCGCCACACGTT